ATGAGAATTAAAAAAACCCAAGTGATGTATGGCTGAGTTCCTAACGAACTGACTGTCAACGATCTTGTTGTTGTTGTAGCAGCATACAAATTCCCCAAAGACTTTTTGGGGAGTGTTGCTGGAGTGACAGTCCTTGGCCAGATATAAATCTGGGTCGTTCCGGTTACGTAGACCCGACTGTCGTGGGAACGATCTCATTGTTGCCGGTTGTTGTTGTTGTTGTTGTAACAGCATACCAATTCCCCAAAGAGTTTTTGGAGAGTGTTGCTGGAGTGACACGTCCTTGGTCAGATATAAATCTGGGTCCGGTTACGTGAATTACTTAAATAAGCTTACATGCAGTACGAAAATAATCTCGTGTATCCAGCACTAGTCTCAATTTTTTGCCTATTTTACTGTAATTCTGATGAGGGTGCAATGCTAGCACCGAAAGCTTAATAAATACATAAAATATATGTACTTAATATAGGCTCGGAGATATCGCCTTTGGTTTCATCGTTGAATTGGAAAACCGCGCGTTAAACAATTCGTTCAAATCTAGAAAACCCCCAAAAATACTCTCAAAGCCGCCAACAAGAAAAGTATAGCAAAAATGTTGGAAAGATTCGAAAAAATCCTTAACAATCCTCGTAAAATGAAACACGAAAAGTCACTGACGAATCTTACAAAGTCCCAAAAAATTCCGATCAGTTCCGAAAAATTTGTAAAAATACAAAACAAAGTCTTTTAAACTCTTAAAAGATTTCAACAAGCACCGCAAATATCCGAAAAATCCAGATACCTCTAAAAAAATCTCGAATATCCCCGAAAAAACTCCGTAAATCAACTATTTTTTCAAGCTTTTATTATTGTTGTTGCTGTAGCGGCTACAACAACGCCACCTAGATCGGTTAATATCTCAGTCGTTATCGTCAAGCTCCACTAACGGAAGCCCCAGGTGCTGCCTCAATAGAGTCGGTCCACAGGAACAAAGGCGTTAGTGTTGTCGGGTTTTCTGGGCATACGAACGGATGTTTCGAGTCGTGTGGTGTCTCTACGCATGCCGAACACTCATTTGGCACATCTGCGTCTGAGCAGAGGTGTGTGTTTAGCCTGGTGCAGTAGCCAGAGCTAAGTTGGGCTATTGTAGTTCTAATCTCCCGAGGCAGATGAAGCTCCGTCTCGTCGATGTCCGGTGGTTGTGTGCCTAGGCATTCACAGGTCTGGAGTTTACATAACTCGAGACTGACTCCCTGTGAATGCCGTTCAGGGCCTGTCGATATGCTGACGGGTCCAAAGGCTGCTTAATGAACCTCTGGACTTCGTCCGTCAGTTCGTGGAGATGCCTCCTGACGTGCCTGGGCCAGAAACTACTTGCAGAGCATTGTGTTATGCTCCTCAACAGGGAGCATTTTCGCCTCGTCCAGTCGCTCTCCTAAGTGCAATGTTTTGTGTCGTCTGTAACTTCATCCACTGCGTCCTACTAGTCCCCAGCGACCACACTGGTGCTGCGTAATTTAAAACCGGCCGGCCTATCGCCTTGTATGTTTCCAGCAACGTTTTTTTGTCTTTGCCCCCAAATACTGCCGGCTAGCGACTTGAGGACCTTGTTACGACTCTGTACTTTGTTGACAATAGCGGTTGCGTGCGCAGAGAAAGAGAGCAGACTGTCGAAGGTTACTCCGAGTATTTTGGGGTTATTCACCGTCGGAATTGGTGTATCATCGACGTGAATTCCCAGCGGTAGCCTGGAGGTCAGGCTGATTTTGTAAAGGAGAGGGTTAGGCTCCTTGCAGTGAAGAAGCGAGAAAGCTCGGATAGATACCCGTTTACTTTGGAACACAAGTCATCAATTAAAAGTATGCTCTTATACACAAAGATTTAAGAAACTTACCAATTAATCTGGCCAAATGTGGAGCACCAAAAATCATTGATGGTGCTGCAGGTGCGTCGGTAGGCAGTAAATTCCAGGACAAAACAGTTTGTAGAAAGTCTTTAGTTTGTGATGGTATATTCAATGCCATTGGTTGCAATGATTTCAAGTAGTTAATGCCGGACGACGCACCACCGCCACCAACAGCAGAGTGCAATGGTGTGGACGCACCAGAACTGGTACTGGCTATACTTGAAAAACAATTTTCTAAGCAATTTTCTAATATCATGTCACAGTCATCACTACGGTGAAGACGTGATTTACGTTTTTGCGGCTCATCCGTTGGAGCGGGAGTCGTTGATGCAGCCTCCATTAATTGTGTTTCTGTGCAACTATCACCACCCGGAAATTGTGCTGTATCCCCCTCATTTTTGTTAGGATTTAGAAAATCCGGAGACAGTCCAGGCAATGCAACATATGTAAAATTCTTGAGATTATCTTCACTTAAATGCCATAGAGCATATTCTTTTTCCTCTTTATATAGTAAATAATCGGCTATGGTAAAGTCAAAGTAAATGCGTAAACCATCGGCGACTTCCTTTAGTAAACTAGCACTGTAATTGGAAAAATGTTATTCGTTCAAAAAATTAATGTGTTTTAAATATTCTTACGTAGCTACTAGTTTATCGAATTCGTGTTCTTTTTTATTTGTTCGTTGCTGTGTTGATCGCCGTCTTGTACTCTCAACTTGCGTTGTTGAGAAAACCATTTTAACAACACTATGCTTTACGAAATTCTCTAATATTGCCACAACTGGAATACGTGCAGGCAACGCATGTTGCTTACAATATTTTGTGATCATATCATGATCGTACTCTAAGTACTGACGCAGGCGTTCGCTAATACGTAGCAAAACGCGTTCTTCATCCGGAAAACTTTCCACAGAACTGCAACATGACTCGGTCTCGCATTCTAAGCACAGAAATTCGGGTAATCAAAATATATGTAGTCATACATTTTCTATCCTACTCACCGTCCTTCATTGGGAAATCTTCTTGTCTT